TTTAGCCTGTTAGTGGTACACCTCCGTCTATGTGTCGGCTTAGTTCTTCCTTGCCCGGTTATTCGAGGCCGGCCTGGTGGCTTGGATCTCCCCATGGCAGACGCGTGGTGATTGACTGGCTAGTGTGAATAGCCCCCTTCCATGACTTTCATAAAATTACCAAATTGTACTGTGATCGAATCGATCGCTGATTGGTCACTGTCAAGGTGTCCGTAAATGGCCAACGTCCGTTTGCACATAAGTTTTACGGTATTCAGCAAATAAAGAGAAGCTGCAGTACATGTATTTACACAAATAGAAAGCTGCTAGCTTTCACAATGTTAGTGTGATCATTAGCGCTTGACAGGGGTGTCTCTAGTGAAGGTAGTGATTGCACGTCGATCCAGCAGTGTTTCAACAAGTTCATGACTGGCCACCAATTGCCAGATCAGTTGCTCTTCTTTGGAACCGACGAGAGGGCTATACTCGTTGTTCTCTTCTCCGCAAGATCCTGTTTGGACAAGAGGAAGATCGGATCGACAACGACCTAAACCCGGTCTCGCTTTCTTGATTGGAAGCAATTGCTACCCTAATTGAAGTTTTTTTGGATAATCATATACTACCTCTGAATATTCACTGATATTCTGGCTTACTGTAAGCCACGGCAATCCGGATATGAAGTATGCCTTGTATAGGCTACCGGCGAGTTCGCCTTTGATACGTTGTGGTAGTTTTTGCTTTGCTGGAAATGCGTGTGTGCTTTAGATCGCATGTTTAGAAGTGAGGTTCCTTTGGTTAGACTCTTATTCCGGCTTTCCACTCGACTGTTCTACTCCTACCGTGACCACACTCCTTGCTGCGGGGCACATCCTTGAGAGTTGAGTACGAACGATGCAGTTAGCTGCAACACGATAGACGATGATGCACGTCAGGATGGTTGCCGTTTCCGTGAGAGGAATCCTGAGCTTTACATCATCGATGATGACTCACCGAATCGTTTGCTCACTACCTATTGTGGTCCCAGAGATACATACATGTATTCGGAAAGTTCATCCGTGGCCAAAAGGCAGACCTAGTCAATTGATGCCGCACCAAGTTTGAGCTGGCAAAGTCTTCTGCGTGGAATTATCCCTTCAGTGCCAACAAAATGATAATCCGTATCATCTCCAGAGCTCGAGGATCTTTTAACCTTTTAGGTGCACGTCTAACAGGATAATATGATCCTGTTGCATGTCATCTACTGTTGTGTCAAGCTGCTGCCGTCCAGTGGGACATCGACGCGCTGCACGTCGTCGGCAGCTCTCCATCCATTGTTGGCGTAGCTCTCGTCGACGACGACCTCGTCGGCAAAGCCAGCACCAGCAGTGAAGCCAGACTCGACAAGTGATGTCTGCTTATGCTGGATTTACTCGGCATACTTTCTCCAGGGGCGCCCAAGGAGCGTCGTCATGGGCAGCATAGGGAGCTAGCAGGACAAGCAGTTAGGCTAGCTCAGTTTCATTCTCATTAGTCAATTTGCTTTGCAAGTTAAACCCCGAGTCTCACGACAGATTGCAATCACCGATGAGGTCATTCAAACGGCGCCAACTATTAAACACGCTCACAGAAAAAACGCCATACCTACACCGACGACGACGCTATTCGCAGGTATTACTACAGAATCGCATAAGATTAAGATGATGAAGAAGCAGCCACACTATAATTTCATGTTGAGGATATCGATATTAAGAAGCTATATTACATGTTTAAGTATATAATAATGACGCCGTGTTTTCAGGACTCTTAGTTAATTCAACATAAATAAAGGATGTCTCGAAACTGGCGTCGTATTACGCACGTTGATCACCGTTTTGTGGTAGTTTAAGTGCTCAGTGCACCATTACAGTCTGGTTAAGGTGCACGTATTCGAACACCACAAGCGGAAGCTAGTGCTGAAGAACTGGAACTCGCACTTTAAATCTATAATGTGCATCACAATCTCTGAAAGATATAAATATAACTTTTTATAACAGATAATATCGTGTTCTATTAGATTTGGTATTAAGCAAGTTCGGGAGATCCCGAAATCCAGAATTTTCATCATTTACCATGCCATTCCAATCATTTCCAGGAGTTGTAACTCAATCAAATAGCAGCTTGCCAGCGTTGTGCAATCAGATATTAAAATCAATATACTGTAGTATTGGCGCCCCCAATACAATGCCAGTGTTGTATTTCAATATTTTATTATATATAGCTGCTCTTATGTTGGCTGTACATTTTCTGTCCAGTGTACTTAAGTACGTTTATCAGTAAAATACGATTTACAATCCTCATAATTTAACCAAGCACTATTTTGACCAATTCCATACACATCATGGTACAATACTAGTTGTGGCGCCGGAGCAGATCTTGTGAAGTATTGTGCTACGGCGGTCGTAATCGACTACTTGTCCCGTGAGCGATGGTGTATCTGAGGTTGTCTATTAAGTTCATTTTAGTGTGGTATACTAAAGCCTACTGATAATTGGAGTCTGCTTTAACGGATATTTATCACCAGGGTACCACAACTAGAGACAAATTTATCACGAGGGACCACAAGTAATTCCATTCGCTGAAAATAGGATTATTTTTATTTTTAGAATTTATAAATGAAACCAAGAGGAAGCACAAGCCAAACTACCAACCAACACAACCACGAGACCATGAGTGCCACTTCACAAGGATCAACTATCAAACTTGACCTAGCTTCTCAGTTTGGACATGAAAAGCCCGAAATCTCCATTCACTTTGCGACCTTGGAAGAAGCGGGCTCGTTTGTCAGATCGTACGCCTTCAACGAGGGAAAAAGTGTAAAACGTAACAAGGGCACCAGAAATTATAAAATGTGGCTTTGTACTAGCACCGCTGAAGAATGTCCGTGGTTTGTAACCTTATCTCGGAAACGTGAAACAACGTCTAAAGGCTCAGAGGTTGTCCGTGGACGCAAAAAAAAAAAAAAAGCTATCTCACGTTCCAGATAATGCGTGGTATATTTCAAAGCTGGATCTACAACATTCTCAGTTTTGTAACAGTGTCGTCGAGATGACAAGCAAGTACTTAGTGGAGCAACCTGGATTTAAGGCAGCAATTACGGAAGGCCATAGTACTTCAATGAAGCGTGTGGTAAACAACGTCAAGACATTTCACGGAGTCGACATGCAAAAGCAGCCTGCTCTCGTTTACAGAGCAATTCAGAGCGAAAAGGAAAAGCAAAAGGTTGATCCAACTGTAGAATACAGACGTCTTCCCAGTTTTTTTCAGGTCTTCGAACGTAAAACGCTGGATCGCGTGTTTGCTGTCAATTGGACTCTTGTGGGAGATTTTTTAGGGCTTTCTTGGCTATTGGCACGGTGGTGCTAGCTCAAGATGCCTTTTTATCAGTTTGAGAATGTGATGGTAGTCATATGAAGAATGTCGACTACAATGGGGTTTGTTTAACTCTCATTGCCAAAGATGGTAACAAAAAAACATTCCTGTTGCGATTGCGTTTGTTCATAAAGAGACTGTCGATAATTTCGCTTGGTTCTTCTGCAACTGTATTGTTGCAGGTTTAAAAATGCACGACCGACCGACCTTTTGCGATCGAGGAAAACAACTACGTGCTCAGGCACTGCTGAATCAGCTGGGTTTAAAAGTCCACCTGAAGTTTTGGTCACTTCACATTCGATTCAACACAATGGATAAGTTTAAACAATTGAAGTTGAATTCGAAGGCAGTACAGGATAATATTTTGGCTTTACAGGGTGCTTCCACTACAAAGGGCTTTGACCAAGTATTGAAAATGATAGAAACGCGATACCCGGTGGGAATTGCGAAGTGGGTGAATGGCGTTCCAGATAACGACTACGTGTGGAGCTACTTGTGCAAAATTCATCCTACAGATTGGTCTCTCTTCGGTAATATGCAGCCCACACCAGAAGATTTAAAATGGCTTGACAGCGTTTGGAAAAATACTCCTACTCATGGTGAGCCTCTACCATTATTTAAAGTTCGCACAACAAGCGCTGTAGAGGGTGACAACAATGGTTTGTTATGGTGTCGGGCCAGAAACAAACTTGTACTTGGATCTCTCATGGCGTATTGTTCACGCGCTCTATCCGTAATCCAGAAGCGTAAGATCGTGGTTTCTGAGTGGATTAAATCAGGGAATGATGTTACGCCCCACGCAATGAAACTTTTCAATACTGAGAAGCTGCTGGTGGCTCGGCAAACCGTCGTCGTAGGCGATGAACCGATCTTTTACGTGTTCGATGCATTTGACTCGCGCAGCAATACCAGCAAGAACGCACATGTATACGAAGTAAACATGTATACTGGTGTGTGTACCCGATGCACAGTTTCAGAGCAGTTGAGAATTCCGTGTCGGCATATTCAGGCTGTAATTTACGATAGATTCAATAATAAGGATGCGGGCGTCGCTCAGTATGATGTGCGGAAATATTTCCACTCTGCGTACTTGGTACGGCATTTGCAAGATGCTGTCGAATCACTGTCTATCCAGCTGCCCCTGGAAGCCGAATTACTAGATTCGAATGACGTCAAGCCACCTCCAATGTACCGGCAAGCCGGACGCTCTTCAACGCGAATGCCAGTGAAGGATACGCGTGATATTGTAAGAGGAAGCAAAAGAAAACAAAATCGTGGTGAGGACGCCTCAAGATCCCGGTATTGTGGTGGAGAGGGGTTGGACATTGCAGTGGAGGATTTATCTGATGAAGAGTCAAAGCGCGTCTCTGCGTTTTTTGACACCCAGCTTTCCGCAGCATCCGTAGTGAAACGAGATAAGTACCGTTGCAGTAAGTGTGGCAAGAATGGCCACAATAAGCGGAGATGCAATGCGACGACAGCGGATATTGAAGAAGAAGGAGGAATACAACCGGGTGAGTATGTAGTTGGAGGGTGCCCGTTCGTCGCCTCCGGAAAGCTCACCGCATACACCAACGAGGTGAAAAGATACCAATAAGATTGCTGCATACATATGACCCAGCAAAATAAAATCACGATTTGAGTTTCCATCAATAAGAATATCCTCTGTGATATTCTGTAGGAACGTTTCACAACACGGAGTATTGTCAGTTGATGACAACCAGTGTGAGCCAATGCAACGATTACCTTTTAAGTAAAGGCCCTCGAAAAAGAAGACAACAAGATAAAATTTCAATGTCAACAGAGTACAGGGTCGTTAAAGGATATTATAGATGTTTATGAAGAAAATAAAACATAACCCACCCTGTGTTCCTGATTAAATCGCATCATCCTCGAATATGAGCCCAGCGCAGGTATACCTCCCTCGTCTTCACAGCACTAGGCCTTGTTACCACACCATTCACTGTTACTAGCTCTGTGTTAGCGGTGCCTGGATGAGCACCACCCGAGGAATCTGAAAGTGAGCAAAGAAAGAAGGAGAACATTGGGACATGAGCACCTCTCGCACGTTGAAGGAACTCAAAAGTATTATTTTAGATTAAAATATTGGCGAGGCGAATGTTTATTGTGTAATTATGCACGCGGAGTTGTCGTTGTGGTGGTTAACAACGTGTTTTCTGCGCATTGGGGAATAGTTGGATGGTAAGTTAGAATATTGTTAAACATTGAGCTGTGCGCGTGAGCGGAATGTTCTGTTTAGTCCAGCTTTTAGAGTAGCAAGCGGATTGTTTCAGGCTCTCAGCGAAGTTCAATTCCCCAAAGTTCTACGCTTGACTGTAGGCGCATTCAAGGCTAAGTAAGCACAGCTAGACAACTACACACGTTAAAACATAGTAATACGTATTGTCAATATTGAAGAAAACTGTACCTTGACCTCCAACGTAAGCTGGAAGAACACTAAATAGTAGTCGAAAAGCTGTAGCTTCTCTTCATGACGTATAGAATAGGCGTCAGCAGGATCTTCGTACCCACTGCCTCAGGTTTCATATACATATTCCAATATTGCGTCCTACGTGCGTGTAGCTCTCGCAAAGACAACGATTGAATTAGCAAAAGCCTACGGGGGCCGTCATGTGCGTCTGCACTTACCGGTGGATACTGAGGTCGGGAAGTGCGCGCATCTTCTGCCCACTGGGATCTACGTCTTCTCACCGCTCCTCTCCAACGAAGCACCACTAATCACGCCCTGAGCGACAAAAAATTAAAATGCAATGCAGATTCTGCATCAGTTGAAAATAATCCTATTTTCAGCGAATGGAATTACTTGTGGTCCCTCGTGATAAATCTGTCTCTAGTTGTGGTGATAAATATCCTTCTATTAACTGCAGAGCTCCCGCAATCCCAAATACGCTGAGTGGGCGAACAGTGTCTTTGTCGGTCCAGTTCTGCGCTCAAAGTCACAGGTACTGAGCCCAAGCGCGTGGTGCTCTGAGAATTAATCCTCTGGAGCTTCGGTAGTTCGTCTAAGATGGCTGGAGCAAGCGCACCTCCGTCCTGTTCGACGATGACGTCGTCAATAACCAACGTTCCGACTTCTAGTGCTGCTGGTGGCCTAAGTACTTCAGGTTCTGCTTCTGGATCGACTGGGAGTAGTGCTGCAAATGCTACCAGTTCTATTGGCCGTGTTACTAGTGGAACAGGATCTACGTCTTTTACTGGCGTCTGTGGTGGATTTAGTTTTCCTCCTGTGGTTCCATGTGGAGGTCCTCAGACGGGTACATCGACTAGCACAAGTTTCGCACCGTCGTCTTTTCCAACCAGCTTTGAAGCTCCATTTCCTGGTACAGGAAGTGTCCTATTTGGATTTGGATATGGTGGATTTGGACTTCCTGCAACATGTACGCAAGTTCCTGGCTACTCAAGTGCTTATGGAGCTGGAGGTGGTTCATTTGGCATTAAAGAAATTTTTAATAAGCCACCGGTCATGAAGAGAAGCTTTGATTTGTATGCTGATCAGCATAAGACGTTTTGACTCGGTTGAAGCTTTGGGGTGTTGTGGAGGGCACTGATGTACGATGCAGCGGGGCTG